CCACTTTTGTGATACATACACGGAGAAAAATAATTTACTGGCCCAGCAAATTTTTTGCTAGTCTAGCAAAATCTTTTCGTTATTATATAAACAACAAAAAGACTAAGAATATTAATCACTATTTACTGGATATAATTTACTGAATGTACAAATTATTTTGATGTAAGAATTATGATGGATTTATATAAGCAGTTGCAGATAGCAAATAAATTTGCTAAGGATACATTATTTTGCATCGATAGCAAATTAACGTCATTCTTAAGACAAATACACTCAACAAATTTTTTTTATCCTGACAACGAAATTACTTCTGCTCTAATAACAAATAATTTGTAAAATTAATTACGTCAACTAAATTTTTTGCTGTCACTACGAATACGCAGTAGCAACGACGATTTTGCTAAAAGAGCAAAATTATTTTTCTCCGTGTAAGTGCAATATTAGTAAATTACATTTACTTATAGAACTCAACCTTGGAGTAGAAAAGACGATAGATGCCTAGGATTCACTGATTTTTATCAGAACTAGTGATAAGCTAAAAATCCTTAGAATCATGAAAGTGAATGTTGTCAAGAATGTTTGGCAGTTTGGTGAAGAAAAAGATCGATTAATTTGAAGTCTGCACGGACTTGAACTTAATTTTGCCTCAAGGCAACAAAATATCAACGAGACATTGGCGGATTTTACATTTAGGGCGAATATATTATCGAGCGGTATTTCTCAGGAATGGAATAATTAACGGCGATATGTGTGTACGGTTGATTCTGAGAGAAAGAAAAAGGAGGCGCAACTGTGTGACCTTCAGTAGAATGCTGAATGACGAATTATTACTTTGCCGGTTGTATACATTCTAATAATTATAAATCGTAATTGACGTCATAAGTGTCCTTTTCTTCGGCACTGCGATGCATAGAAGGAAAACTAAAACGTCCTTAAACATAATTAAAAATAAAATGGATAGTATAAATGAAATAGATAGTATCATGCTGAACGACGAATGTTCGAGTCTAATTAGGTCTAGATCAAAGGTAGGTTGCCGGCGCGAAAAGTGCAACGAGAGGTGCAACATCCGGCGCGCGCGGACGAGCACGCGTGTTTTGATGCGGTCGCTAGGCTACAGCGCGCTCGATATGACAATGACGTTTTTCGCGTCGAAGCTCGCAGACCGGAGATAAACCGAGCGAAAACAAATAACACACTGATGGGTTTGTCATATACATCCACGCACGCACACACATACTGCAAAGAGTCGAATGTATGCGCAAGTGCAGGTAAATAGCTCGATATAATCTCTCCATTGATGGCTACAAGGTTTTACACTGGCAAGAAAAGGTACCTTGTTTGTCAATTAGAATAACGCTTTGATGTATTATAAAGTATGGAAAAATGAGAAATTTTTAAGTATTTTTTTTACCGACGGAAGAACATGTTTAGCAAATAAAATCAGGTTCCGAAGTTGGGGATGTAATCGACTTATTTTATAGTTTCCTATAGAAGCCATTGTTTGATTTGAATGAAGCAAATGTTAAAATGATTTTTAATGAGGGTTATAAGATATATTTTATGCAAGATTTTTTATCGACTGTATATGAGGGTAAACCACTCGCATGAAACATTAAAACTTTTGTAAAAATCATACAATAATAATCACATAATAATAATCTTCTGTATTGTATAACATATCAAAGTATCCGAATCGGAGTGAAATAACAAGGTACCTTTTCTTGTGAGCAGAAAAAATTGTTAATTTTATTAAAATTAGAATCAATTTTGTCGTCAACAATTTTTGTTTGTCATTCTAATAAAAGGTTGTAGTAAGAATATGTTTATAAGATTATTATTACTATCCTTATCTTAGATAGTATAAATTGCTAAAAAAGACGTCTTAAAGATATTTAAAAAAGTCATCTAAGAGAAATAGGACGTCTTTTGGGCGTCTTGAAGACATCTTTTAGTTGATTGTGTTATCTAAGATAGTAATACCTATATTATTAGGACCTTAACTTAGTTTCCGCCCAAAAAATACTGAGAAAAAGCATTTATTGTAAAAAATTTATTTAAATTATTTCAATGAAAGTATTTTCCATCACTTTCTACAACTTTTTGCCATCTTTCTGGCAACT